TGGCTTGGATGTAAGAATGCATTGTACAAGTAAATGTGTTCACCTACCCTCCAATCAGTGCAGCTCGGTGGCACCATAGTGCACAGAGTGCTGGGTCTGGTGTCAGGAAGATTCAGCTCCCTGACTTCAAATCTGGCCTCAGACACTTACTAGCTGGGTGACCCTGGGCAAATCACTTAACCTTGTTTTCTTCAGTTTCCTCCTCTGTAAAATGAGCTAGAGAAGGAGATGGCAAACTACTCCAGTATCTTTGCCCAGAAAACCCCAAATGGGATCACGAAGAGTCGGACATGACTGAAACAACTGAAAAACAAACAACACTCCAGTTCAAGAAAGACCTGGGATGTTGTCTGCAGTGGGAAACTCCATCCGTAAAGCAGATTGCAACTCCCCTATGACTTGGTAGATAAGTCCTAAGGAGCAAGCTGGAGGCACACAGTTGGCAACTGACTTGCCCAGAATCACATATCTAGAAAGTGTCAGAGGAAGAATTTATTCCAAGCTCAGCACTCTGTCCATTTTACCACATTGTCTGTATGTGTAAACTCACTTGCACGAACTTTGTTTATGGTTTTATGAGTTGCCTGAAGCAGCTAGATAAGACTATGAGTTGAACCTCCCCTGCACCTTTGCAAAGGTCAGGGTCTGTTCATTTCATTTATTTATTTATTTGATGTGTTGATCAGCTTTATGGAATTTTTTTTTCTAGTCTTCCTTTTTATAAGAGATGGCTCTCTGGGAATGGGAGGAGAAGGTATCTAGGGGGCAATCCAGGTGATCCAAAAATTTAAAATATCAATAAAGTACTATTTTTTAAAAAGTCTGTAAGTCAAGAAAAAATATTGCTATGTAATTGGGACAGCTAGGTGGCACAATGAATAGAGCGACAGTCCTGGAATCAGAAAAATTCATTTCCCTGAGTTCAGATCTAGCTCTCAGACACTTACTAGCTACATAATCCTGGGCAAATCACTTAACTCCATTTGCCTCTGTTTCCTCATCTGTCAATGAGCTGGAGAGGAAAATGACAAACCAGTCCAGTATTTTTGTCAAGAAAATCCTAAACGGGATCATGAAGAGTCAGACACAAATGAAATAACTGGACAGCAATTGATAAACAATAGAGGAGTTTCCCCCTGAAGATCCCTACTGAAGACATTCATGGAGTTTTGTGTGTGTGTGTGTGTGTGTGTGTGTGTACTACATTATGTAGACACATATTATATACTTATGTATGTTTTCCACATTCTCAAGTTCATTGGCATTTATTTATTCTTCATTTGAAATTCAGAACAATGAGAAGAGGTAGATGTGTCCCCAGTCCTCTCTACAATCCCCTACATTCACTCCCCACTCCAAAATTACTCCTTATGGTTCCAAAAAAACAGCTCAGCTTCGCGCAGATCCTACTATGACCGCTGCTGGCAGTATGCTTTATAACCAAAGTATGTCTTCTTTATCCTCAGACTTTTCCAGTTCAATTTCATCCATCAAAGAGCTTAGCATAGTGCCTGTCACACATCAATAAAAGCCTTTTTAAAAGTCTATACATCGAGAAAAGGTATTGAGATACAATTGGGACAGCTAGGTGGCACTTTCCTTACCCACTTTGGTTGCTAAAGCTATGAGATGAAAGGTAAAGGTTTATAGAGATCCCCAACAACAGCCTTCCTTCACCCACTCACATATTCCCACCTATGCACATGGTCATGTGTGGGCAGACAATCACACAGAGCATGTAGGGCCATTGAAGGGCTTAGCAGTAGGTCTCTGGAGGTCCTTCATGGAGAGAGCTCCCTCAACAGTCATGGTTGAGGTCCTGCAAAGTCTCTTTTGGCCCCTTTGTACCAGCCCCTCATTTTATCTTTCTTTCTATCTATCTATCTATCTATCTATCTATCTATCTATCTATCTATCTATGTCTATCTATCTATCTATTTTATGAATGATTTTAAAATCACTCATTTTAGAGACTGATCCTCTTTCCCTTCTGTTGTCTCCTTTGTGTGACCTTTGAGTTTCCTTTGCAGATAAGGGGACGCCATTTGCAGAGGGGACTAGCCAATTGCTGGAGTAGATGATGCATGGATATGATCTCCATATTACTAGCACCCCCTTACACATCTGGAATACCACCCACCAGTGAAAGTCCCTAACTTCCTCCTACATGAAGCCTTACCTGCTCCCAACCCCCACTCCTTGGGGGTGTCTCCCTCTTAAAATTAGCTTGCAATACATTGAATCTGCTTTGTCTCTTTGTACATGTTTTGTCCCCTCCAGTAGCATGCAAGTTCCTTGAGGACAGGAAATGATTCATTTTTGTCTGATACGTGTCCTGGCACTAAGTAGGAAGCTAGATGACGCAAGGAACAGAGTTCTGGGCTTGGAGTCAGGAAGACCTGAGTTCAGCCTCAGACACTCAGTAGCTGTGTGACCCTGGGCAAGTCACTTAACCCTCTGTTTGCCTCAGTTTCCTCAACTGTAAAATAAGGATACTAATAGCACGCACCTCCTAGGGTTGTTGTGAGGATCCCCAACCCAGGGTAGATAGCCTTTCAACCCCCTGTGCATATAAGTAGTGATCTCTACTTGTTGAGGGAACTTGGCTCTGTTTCCCTACTACAGCTGACTTTCAAATGAGTGTCTGTGCTCCTCGTGGACCTGTCCAGGAGAATCAAAAAACCAGAGACCTAGAGATATAAGAGAACTCAGGGATTACCTAGTCCTCTTCTTCATCTTCCTTTTTACTCATTTTACAGATGAGGAAACTGAGGCACATGGAGTTTAAGTCCAAGGTCAAACAGGGCCAAAATATAAACCTACATCTTCTAACTCTAGAGCCTGGGGTTTTTTTTCCTTCTGTCTCACATTGCCTCCTTAGTCGTGGGAGTCAGAGATCTTGGGATGTGAGTGATCCCTTGCTCATACTCTGCTCAACCCTATTACTCCATTTTATGGAAGACTCAAATTAGTTAGATTAGTCTTCTTAGGACCAGTGCCCTGATCTCAGCCTGGGTGAGAAGACAGCTATTTACATAGAGAAATCTTCTCTTCTTTTGGCTAAACATCCCCAGATGCTTCCACCAGTCTTATGTGTGGGATGATCTCAAGGTTCTTCATCATCCTTGCAGTCAAAAGAGATGGGTTCATGATTTTCTTTCATTACTCTCATTTCTCTTCCCAGTTTTTCCTCTACTTCTCTTACTTGCTTCTCAAAATCCTCTTTGAGCTCTTCCATGGCCTGGGATTGATTTCTATTTTTCTTGGAGGCTTTGGATGTAGGAGTTTTGACTTTGTTGTCTTCTTCTGGTTGTATGTTTGATCTTCTTTGTCACCAAAGCAAGATTCTATGGTCTGACTTTTTTTGCACTGTTTGCTCATGATCCCATCCAATTATTTGACTTTTAAACTCTCTGTTAAGGTAGGAGGTCTGCTTCCAGTGTGGAGAATGTACTGCCCCAGGCTTCAGGGATTTTGTGCAGCTGTTTTCAGAAATACTTCTAGGGACCTGTAAATTTTCAGTTCTTCCAAGATGGTATGATAAGGAGCAAGGTGTTTACTCCTTTCCTGGCCTGTGCTCTGGTCTATGAGTGACCACAAGCACTCTTTTCTACCTTGGAATTGTGAGGAGCATTTCCTCTTTACCACTACCCATAAGCTCCACCACTCCAGCATTCCTCCTCACCCCAGGACCGCCACCTAGAACTACCACCCAGATCCAAGCACAGGCAAAGTAAGAGAATCCTGCCTCAGCACCAGCAAAGAGATCCCTGCAATCCCTCTCTGATCAGCCACTCGATCCCCCCTCCATCTGTGGGCCCAGAGCTCCAGAAGCAGCCACCACCCTGGGACCATGCTAGGTCTGGGGCAGGACTGGGCTCCTCTCTCACCGTGGTCACAGACCTTTCCTACTGACCTTCTAAGTTGTCTTTGGTGTTTGTGGGTTGCGAAATCTAGAAACCACTACTGCTCCCCTTGATTCAGTACCTTGAGGCCTGCTCCAGGTTCACTGAGGCCCTATCTTTGTTTGTGCAGCCCATGCTGAACTGCGCTCCTCTCCCAGCCTGGTGCAATAAACCTTTCCTATCAACCATCCAGGTTGTCTTGGGCTGGAAATTTGTTTCACTCTGTTTTTTTGTGGGTTCTGCTGCCCTAGAATTTGTTTAGAGCCATTTTTTACAGGTATTTGGAAGGATTTGGGGGAGAGTTCAAGCAAGTCACTGCTTTTACTCCAAAAGCTGGGTTCACATCCTGGCTCTGCCACTCCTTTCCTATGTGCCCCTGAGCTAGTCACAACTTCCATAATCATCAGCTTCCTTTGCTCTAAAATGAATGAGTTGGACTACTAGATGGCCGTTAAAGTCCTTTCTAGTGCTAACTTTATGCTCCTGTGGTCCAATGAGAGTATTACCCCTCCTGGGGATGGCATGGGAATGATGAGGCATTGTTCCTCTCCAGAGCGCTCGTTTTCCTTAACTATAAAATGAGGAAAATAACTTTTGTGAAGCACAGTGCCTGGCACATAGTAGGCACTTCTTGAATGCTTGTTTCATGCTGTCCATCTGAGAGAGAGCTAATAGACTTAGGATACAGATTAAAGCATTTTTTCATCTGGCTCTTTATTTATTTGCTTGCTTATTTTTATTTATTTATTTGGACATGGCTAATGAGGAAATTTGTTTGGCCTAACTACACATATTTGTAATGGGTTTTGTCTTTCTTGCATTCTTAATGAGAGAGAGGAGGGAACAGGAAAGAATTTAGAACTGAAAATAAAATAAAAATGAATTAAAAAATAAAAATAGAAAAAATTTTCTTCCTTCCCCTCCTCCTTTCTTTCTTTCTTCCTTCCCTCCTTCTCTTCCTTCCATTTCTTCTTTCCTTCATTTCCTCCTTCCTTCCTTCATTTCCTTCTTCTTTCCTTCATTTCCTTCTTCCTTCCTTCATTTTCTCCTTCTTTTCTTCCTTCCCTCCCTTCCTCCTTCCTTGTATTGCTTCAGATGGAGGTGATTGTTGGTGACTTTGGAATTGTGGTGGTACCTCGGGATGCTGCAGATACAGACCAAATCATGAACCATTCCTCAATACTCCGCAAGTACAAGGTGAGTCTTCTCAGTGGGGACAGACCAATGCAAATGTTCATCTCCCCAATTTCCTGGAGTGGGACAGCTAGATGACGCAGTAGATAGAGCACCAGTCCTGAAATCAGGAAGACCTGAGTTCAAATCTGGCTGTGTGACCCTGGGCAAGTCACTTAACCCCAATTGCCTAAAAAAACAAACAAAAACAAAAAACAAAAAAAAAATCCCCAGTATCCTGGAGCTCAGGAAGGGTAGGGAAGCTGAAGGTACCTGGGCCAAGTGGTCAGCAACCCACTTTCTCTGCTCTATTCCTAGAACAACATCCTGGTGGTGAAGGATGACATCAACCACCCCATGTCCATTGTCAGTTCCACTAAGAGCAGGTAAGTATGACTGTTTGGTACAATGATGAGATTGCTGAATTTGGAGTCTAGAAGGATCTGGGTTCAAATTCTGGCTCTGCTACTTAATACCTGTGTGACCTTGAACAAGTCACCTGATCATCTCTCTGGGCCTCAGTTTCTTCATCTGTAAAATAACTAGATTGAACTAAATGACCTTTAAGGTACCCTATAGCTCCAATCCCAGTGACTGAAGAAACCTCTCCGCAGCTAGGTGGCCTTAGCTCACTCTGCATGCCCCTCATCTAAGACAGGAAAGGATGGCCTGTCTCAGGCAGGTAGAATCCTTATGTCCAACCTCCTATCTTGTCATCATTCATTTGACCTCATAGTTTATGCTTCCCAAACAAATTATCCATTAGTAGACTTGGGGTAATTTCAACAGACTCTGCTCAGAAGGTAAGGAATAGACCGCATGACCTCTCAAAAGCCTTGCTAGCTTTGATCTAGTTTCCAGCATAAAGAAGTGCCAGTGTTAACAGTACTAGCTCATGCTACATCCATTCAGATCATGGAGGCCTGGTGGTTTAGATTAACACCAGTGTTTCCTCTCTCCTTCCCCTGCCTGCCACAGTAAAGCATAGGCTCTTCCTCAGGCAGAACTCTGAAAGAACCCCTGGAATCCTGAACCATTTAGGGTTGATTCTCTGATAGGACCCTTGCCTCCACCTGACCCTGCATTCTATCAGGAGACAGTGTTTCATAATGGATAGAATGATGGACTTGGGGCCCAGAAATGTGGGTACCAATTCTGCCTCAGGCATTGAGTAGTTGTATGGTCATAGAAAGCCTGGTCTGGAGTCAGGAAGACTCATCTTCACGAGTTCAAATCTGGCTTCAGATACTTCTTTGCTGTGTGATTCTGGGCAAGTCACTTAACCCTGATTGCCTGAGTTTTCTCATCTATACAATGAGCTAGAGAAGGAAGTGGCAAACCACTCTAGTATCTTTGCCAAGAAAACCCAAAAACTGGGGTCACAAAGAGTCAGGCATCACTTAAATGACTGAACAATAATATCTCTGAACTGCTCAAAGCTCATTTCCTCATCAGTACAAGGATGTTCATGCTTGCACTAACTACTTCACAAAATTGTTGTGACGAGCAAGCCTTAAACACAGGAGGGAAATCCATGATTTTTTTCTTAAAATGGCTCCAAATGATTTCTGTACTGCAAAGTAAAACCAAACTCTGACCATCGCCCCAACAAATGCAGGAAGGGCAAAAACCCATTGACCATTTCTCTCCCATGCAAACTAATCATCAACCAGTGGAAAAAAAAAACCAGCTGAAGATGCAAACCTTTACCAATGATGTGTGGAGTGTCCAGGCCACTCATTCTGGCATGCTGCCATGGGCTTTGAAGTACGTCTGAGAGGTGTTATATTTACTTCAAGCTGGGATCATGGGAGCCTTCTTGACCCAGGGTTGTCTAGGGTTCCCTTCCTGCTTTTCCATTTGTATGAGTTGTGTGCATTCCTGGGGTCCTAGTCACTCAGGTCAGTCTCAGGACAGTCTGTCCAGTTTGTGTATGTACACACGGAGGCAAGTCACTTGGTAGAGTCTGTATTGATTTGTTGCTATGGGGGAGGACGTGAGGACCAGTTGAAGCATGAGAAGGTTGCTGTAGGAGAGGGTCTGTGATGATAAGCTCCAGTAAGTCTTTCTAGTGCCCATGTACCTGAACTGGTTAGCCTGACACTTCTCTGATTTGCACTGCAGAGCACTCACACTGGGGGTGTAAATGACGACCTGCAGTGAGAATTTGCTATATCTTAGATTCCCAAGTCATTGAGAGAGAGGGAGAAGAGGAGGGTGAAGACAGAGAGGAGAGAGACAGAGACAGAGAAAGGGAGAGGAAAGAAGAGAAGAGAGGTAGGAGGGGAGAGAAAAGGCAGAGAGTGAGAGAAGAGAGAGGAGAGGGAAAGAGAGGAGAAAGAGAGAGAGAGAGGACACAGAGGGAAAGGAGAGGGGAAGAGAGAAAAGAAGACAGAGACAGAGAGGGAGGAATAGGGGGAAAGAGAAACAGAAAGACAGAGAGAGAGAAGGAGGGAGGCAGAGAGAGGAAGAGACAGACAGAGACAGAGAGAAAAAATGTGAGAATGAATTGGAGTAGTTGAAATCTCTTCCAGCTCTAGAATTCAATGATTCTCTGATTCCCATTTGGGTCCTTAATCCCTACAGACCATCAGGTGGGGAAATTCAAAGTGAAACCAACTAGTGTCAGCTAAACAAAATTGTAAAATAATGTGAAGTGTGACATTTGCCCTCCAGTTCCCTCAGCTCCTTTCTATGGGCTTCTCCCTCAGTACTCTCCCTGCCCTCCATAGGAACTCAGTGTTCTTATTGCTACTCTATCACTCAAGTCGGAAGAAAAGAGATCTAATAAGATTTAATAATTCATAGTGAATTAGTTTAATTTGTTGCTTCTCCCAGGAGTATTTCCTTTCCAAAAAAGATCAGACAGGGAGAGGAACACAAAGGAATGAGTTTCTAAAGCTGGAATTTCAATTTTAAGCCCTGGTTGCACTTGGGTGAAAGAGCTGTTTGGAGGCAGAGCTGAAATCTTATGACTCAGACAACCGGTTACTCTGCCCAACTGTTTGGGAGGCCAGCTGGAGGCCAGCTGCTATGCTGACCCTCCTGGGCTCTTTGTCTTCTCTCCCCCTGTGACCTTACCTTCTCCCCATCCTTCTCCACTCTCCCCACCTCCATCACCCAGACTACTTTAAGAGGTTCTGACTCAGTCTGTTTTCTTATTTCCCACAGACTGGCCCTGCAGCATGGGGATGGACACGTTGTGGATTATCTAACCCAGCCCGTCATTGACTACATCCTCAAGAGCCAGCTGTATATCAACGCCTCTGGATAGGCACCATTGTTCTTGCCCCCACCCCCTTTTGTGCCCCTCAACCCTGTCACTCTGCAGCAATTCAGTCCTTGTGCTTTACTCTGCTTCTCTTCTCCATCACTCTTCTCCTGGTCTGTCTGTCTCTCCATCTATTTCTCTCTCCTCCCTTTTTGTCTTTCTCTCACTGTCTCCCACATCTTCACTTGCTGATTGTAATACCCCACAGGATAGGGCTGTCCCAAGAACCATGGTACTTGGTACATGGAACCCCTTGCTACAGTTGTCTTTGGACAGCCTTTCTACTTGTTTCCCTGGGTTGGGGAGGGGAAAGTGCAGCCCATAGAGGTATATTGATGTCCGTTTCCCAGCATGCTCTAGGGAGGCGGCTCTGGTGCCCACCTTCCCAGCATGCTCTAGGGTGGTGGCTCTGGCACTCGCCCTCCTAGCATGCCCTTTGTCACAAAGGGCTGGCCTTTTTTTTTTCCCACTTCTCATAGACCTTGGATGAAATGGGTGTCTATGGTTCTTTTTAGTTAATCTCCACATGCATTCCTTTAGCATTCTTTCTGTTTTGATGTGTTACTGCATTCAGCCTTGGCTCTCATTATTGGGAGAACCCAGCCCTTGAAGGACACCCCCAAATATGAACCTCAAGCAATGAGGTGGAACACTCTTTTTTTGGCCAAGAGTGAACCACTTGGGTTTTGAAATCCCAGGAGACAGAAAATTTCTACAATCGTTAAGTCTGGGTATGAGTTTTCCCCAGGATTTTGAACCTATTTCTTCAGGTTTTGGTTTTAGGAGATGATTTTCCTGCTCCAAAACTGAATAATGGCTTAACCTCTAGTTTAGACAAAGCCAGTCCTTACACATTTTGGAAGGCCCAACCATAAAGCATTTGGCTTATAATTGAACTAGAACTAGTGGGAAGGGTGGGGACTGTCAGTTAAAAAGTGTTTGTAGACTACCCACCTCCTTCACTTATTGTACTAAGCCCTTCTACACCAAACTTAGGCATACACCTGGACAACTTACGCCAGGTGAAATCCTAATAAAGCAGCAATTTCTAAAATAAATGAGCTAAGTGGTCATCCAGCCTTGGATATCCTTGAGAATATGGTTTTTCTATGGCCCACGTCTGCTAATCCTATAATCCATCCCTTTTTGTGTAAGATACTCAGATAATGAATCTGTAAGCTCAGTAATGTGGGCACCCCCTTCACTAATGCAGGATCATAACCCATTCATATCATCTCATGATCTTGAAAAAAAAAAACAGCAAAGAATCCTGATCACAGTGATCCCAATGTACTAACTTACCCTGGTTGGGATATCCAGGGTTAAACTTTTTTGTGGGGTAGAAGCAGTATCCCAGTGTTTCTGTAAGACTAGGATAAAGACTTCTAGGGAAATTAAAAAACGTCACTTGTCATCTGATTAAAAATGCCTTAATAGGAACGTGTATTCACATAATAGGGCTCTCCATGGGAGCACTGAGCCTTCAGGAAACCTATTTAGATGCATGGATTCAAGTTGCCTCTTCCGTTTCCTTTCTACTGTTCACCCTTGAAGGGGCTCCAGGGACCCAGTGCTGGCTTCCAAAGTCATGTAGTCTGCCTAGGGAGCCAGGATGGGTGGTTCCCAGTGACTGTCCATGCCTCTCACTTGATTTCCTATCTTGGGCAATTCTGATTGACTTTGAAGAAGAGTCTTAGAACAATGGAGCTTTTATCAAAATTCCATGGCAGTGATGGCTCTTGTGAGTCTGGGAGAGAGTGAAATCCAAGAACAATTAGTCTGCCCATGAATATGTCTTCTTGGGTACAAACTTTCACATTCGTGACTATAATTAAGAAGATTTCAGGCCGGTTTTCTTACGGAACATGGGGTTGGGAGTAGGGGCCACAAACTCAGTTGGACAAAGACGAAAAGCTACAGAAAGTGAGAAAGTTTCATCCTCTATCCCATAAGTACATTGGGGCATATGGCAGAATTGTGAAGGCAGAAAGAACCTTAAAGATTATCTAGTGCAAGTTAACCCTGATTAAGTTCTAGTTTGGGAAAAGAGAAAGACAACAGTCAGTAAATACTCAGAAGAGAGAGTAGAAACAGATGTGGCAAGATACTGCATCCAGAAATAACGTAGAGCCACCATAGAAATGAGGCTGGATACCGGGGGAATGTGGAGAGTCTAACCAGCAAGGATCTCTTGATTATGAATAGACTAAGGGAAGATGGTGAGGGCCCATCACTGGGAACAAAACCACTTAAGGCTTAGCTATGGGCTATATGGGGCAGTTCCATGTTGGAATAGGTACCTTTTCTATCTTTTCAGCTTCTAGGATTATAGGTATAGAGCCAGAAAGGACCTCAATGGCCATATAGCCAAATTTCTTCATCTTTCAGATGAGGAAACTGAGGCCCAGGAAATTTAAGTAATTTGCCCAGCATCATGAGAGAAAGAAGTATGAGCAGTGGAATTTGAACCTAGGTTCAACATGACTTTATAGATAGTGTTTTTTCTGCTGTACTATGCTGCAGGTCTCAGGCAGAGCCCAAACCCCATTTGCTATTCTTTCCTCTCATGAAGGAGCTATGATGGTTCTGGGCTGGTTGGTGTGGAGGAAACATGAAGGCATGTTAGAGATGGAAGAAATAGACCAAGTGGAGTTCTAGAAAAGAAAGGGTCAAGTCATACCTGACTGTGGGGTGGAAGGAGGAGACAGCAAGTTGAAAAGAACTCGCCATCACCAGAAGAAGTTTATCAAAGAAAAATGTGAAGCTCCTGTTAGCCCAGAACCACAACCTTCTCCTCCCTATCCCTTTCCTAGTTCCCAATATCAAGCTCCTTATTCACTAAGAATGATAACAACATTACTCTTGTCTCACAATGGGACTTTGTTGATAGGAGCCAGTCACAGTCAATGCTAAGGAGAGGTTTCAGAGTCCTTGGTAAGGCCTGACAGTCAAGAGAAGCTCCACCAGGCTGCATGAACCTGGTCCATGCTACCAGTAATCTTCCGTTCCTCAGCTTGCCTGGGGAACATGACTTCTGCGATGGGACCTGGTGACTTTATGAGAAAGGTGGGAGTTCAAATGGCAATGTCACGAGGGTCTACAGCCTCATATCTTGCCAACAAGCAGGAAATGGCCATCAGATAAGGTCACCTTCTCTCTTCTTTTCCTCCAAAAAATGAAAGTCGCTGATAGAGCGGATGAGGACAAAACCACACGTCCCTCCTCACAAGAGATCTCCTTAGGGAATTTGTGCTGCTAATTGGTACCTCAGTGCTCCTCAGGTAACCTCTGAGATCTCATTGCTCACATTGTTCATGGGAGTCCAGTAGGGACATGGAAAAGGAATTTCTCTATTTGTACAGTGCCTGATAATTCCAAGCTAATCTCTTCTAGACAAGCAGCATATACTGCTGTGTGCATTTTCAACCATTCACCATTGTGCTCTGGTCTCATCCTTGAGCTATTTCAAAGAAATAGCAGAGATATTCCTGGTAGGAATAAATAGGGAATCAATTGTACTTCTCAATTCCTAAATGGCAGCAAAAGGTGGAGAATACAATGGAAAATCTACTTATTCTAACAACCTGAACTTAACCCTTGACCCTTCACACATGCACATACACATGTGCGTGTGCATGTACACACACACACACACACACACACACACACACAAACACACACACATTTTCATGAGACTAAGAAAATAGAACCCAGTATTTGATTTTCTCTAATAAGAGAGTAATAGGAAAATAATTGGGTAGACCACTTGGCTGTATTTGGAAGTATGGGAATAATGATCAGCTTTGTAGTTCATCTAATTTAGGATAGCATGCCTTAGGACCATAGCATTGTGGTAATGATTATGAATACACCATGACTCATCTTATTGACATCTTCATATAGCTGCATAGTAAAACTCCACCACGTAGTTTCTTTTAGCATAAGTTTAGAGGGGCCTATGAATATTTTCTGGTTGGTTAGAAATGAGCTGTGGTTCAGTCCTTCCTCATTCTTCAGCCTCAATCACAGAGCCCACAATGTAGTTAAGTTTTAAAAGTCTCTAGTTTTGGTACAGGGAGGGAAGGGATCTCTTCAATTTACATGTTGATCACTGAAGCTGCCATGTTAACAGTAAGATTTGTTTTCCTGAAACCAATTCATTTAAAAAAAAAACGGCATTCAAGTTGCGAGATCATTTCACAGTGAAATATTTTGAGTAAAATATTGTTGCTAAAGATGGTCACGGACTAAAGTTTTATCAGCAAAATGTTTCAATTCTATAATAAACAAGATGATGCTATTGGTTTCTTGTTTCACTTCTGCTCAAGTCAAGGAGTTGGACCACAATTTAGACGATGCCTTAGGAGACTGCATTGGGCTGCTTGAAGGGCCCTCTTTGCATTTTATTTAAAGGAATATTATATCAAAAGAAATCTGTGTATAGGGAAACAAAGTTTTAGGCAGTAGCTGTAGATTAGAACAATAAACTTAAACATTCACTGTCTAAGTTTGAGACCACTGAGGAAAAGAAGTGGTTGTTTTTCCTTGAGTTTTTACTTTATAGGGACTAACAGATATAAAATATGCCTAAAGCAATTTTCCTGGCCCAATCCAGTTGCTTGCACATACACATTTGTATTCGTCTACATACAAGTATATAACACATGTCTATCATGGGCAGTGTTTATAGTGCTTTGCCCACTGTTAACACCCATCAATCAACAAACACATATGCCTGGCAACGTGCTGAGGAGGAAAGTCCACATGAGGGAGAGATAACTGGCAAATGTATGAGTTGGATCTGTTTACATTTCCATTTACAATGCTCATTATCTGTGATGAGATATGTGATTAAAGCTATCCAAGTAGGAGAGTGCTGGCTAAGCTTGCCTCCATTGTGTGAGATGTAAGACTTAGGATAATCAAAAACTTTTAAGCTTTACTAAAATACAATAACCACCACAATCAAGGCTTTATATTTTGTTTTAATACTTTTGGGACAGAAATAAGCAAAATGATTCTGTTTAGTAATTAATCTTCTCCACTGTGGATGTTAATTCATATTTTGACTTTATATCATATATAGGCTAACTAAAGGCCAGATTTTGGATCAGAAGTTGGCAGTTCTTCTAGCCAGATGCCAACGACCTCGGCCACTTGACCAGTGTTAGCATTATTCAATTAGGTTCAGAACAACCATTCTTATGTTACTGTTTTGATTTGTAAGTAGGCCACTTTAATTAACATCATGATTAGCTCATTTTAACATGTGTTATATTAGTGTGTCCATGATAGGTAATGTCCATCAATGATGAATAATATAGCGAGTCATTGATTTTTGTGATGCTCCTGTTCTCAAACTAATGGTTTGTTTATTTAGCCAATAGCCTCCATCTTCAGTAGGGGCTATTGGCACGTCAAAATTGAGTTTGATAAGCCTTCAAATCTATAAATCATACTATTTACTCTTTTGTTCCCAAAGTTAAATGTTGATTTTTGAGCATCTAATGAGGAAAGAGTGTTAAATCATCTTTGAGACAATCTACTAATTTGCTGATTCTTGATAGAATCTTAGCCAATTGGTGGATATTAACTATGGTATGTAGTCATTTCTACTTTTATAACTAGCTTGAAGAGTTGAGTTGCTTATTGAGAAGCTATATAACCACCTGCTAACTAGGAGGAAAGCATGAGCCTAACCTTTAGAGAAATATTCTCTGCTTTACAGGTGAGAAAACAGAGTCACAGAGAATGCCATACCATTTCCAGTACTTTATCAAGAATTAGCAAAAGGCATAGGAAGCACATTCATGCTATTTGACACTTGTGCAAACATGAGACTAGATTGTCTCATTCGACTTCTTTTTATCCTTTCTTCCCATCTTCTAAGAGAAATGAAAAGAAACCACATCCTGGGATTTAAGTAGCATGTCTGTTCAAGAAAAGTCGTGAGTTGTTGACTTTTCTATTTCTTCCTCTCTCACTAGAAAGTTTATAAATAAAAAAAGATGACCTACAATGGAATATCAACTAGATATTAATGGTCCTCTTCAAGAATGAAGGACAAACAACAACTACAAGATAT